CGTGGCAAGGTATAGATTTATGGAAATGGATTAATTTAAGATAAAAGAACAGTTAGCAAGAAGCCTGCCACGGCCACACAGTTTGTAAGCAATATAAGTCTCTGTGTTTACTTGGTTGGGTCTTAGCGGCTGTGGGACTGGCGGGTGACAGAGATTTGTCCTGACTGTGGGCAAGGCAGGAAAACTCTAGCGACAACCCACAGATCCTTTTTTATTTTTTTTTTTATAACAGAGACACCAAAGTGCCACAATCATCTGGAACACAGATAGGCTAGCTGTGTCCTCCTTCCCTCCTTCCCTTTTGGTCTCTCCAGAGTACTCTTAGACCCACTGATGATGGCCTGCTTGGCTTTCCTCCCAGCCCACCTCTATCCCATTTAGACTTCCTGCCATTTATGGCAAGAGCCAGGATACCCTAGCTCTGCCTCTGTTGACCTCCATGAAGCCACACTCTGCAGATTAAGACAACCCCAGAGTTAGACAGCCTCCATCTCAGCACCTACTGGCCAAGTACCTTCTCCACCCACTGTTTTAATCTGGGACTTCTTGGATTTTTAATCAAGAGCTTCAAACAGAGCTTCATATCTTAGAATGGATGGAATCAGAACCCTAAAACCCAGATTAAGTCCAAGAATGAAAACCAAGCATCTTTATTCTGGTCCATAACCTGTCATATTTGGGCGACAGCAACCAAAGATGGAACTCTGGTTGCTTCCATTACTCCCATGTGGCAGACACTGCAGCATTTAGAAAGAGTGAAACACATGGTGCACATGTATTCTGAACAAAGAACCTTCTGACTCAGCCAAAAATATGAGTGCTATTATTTATCTTCTTTGCAATCTACACTTTCATGATTCAATAAAACATGTAAATCGGCTTCTGAAAGTATTGACTTTTCCTGTACTATCCCAAATGAAGCTGCCTTCTATACAGCAACGCTTAATAAATGACTGTTGAATTGAGTGAATGCATGGATAAACACAGTTGTCAGATATGGCCCTGAAGAGGTGAAATGTTTAATTTAGTATGTATATTCACTTTGCATTCTGTTAATAAGAAACTACAGACTGGAGCTGCAAGATAACCTTTGCTAATGAGAGTGACATTGCATACACAAACAACTGAAGCCTCCTCACCAGGCTTATAAAATGTTTTCATTTTACAACCAAATTTGATTTGTCCTACCACATTTGTATTGCTCTGCTCATTATTTCCAGTAGCAGGCTTTTCCTTTCCTTTTTTTTTTTTAAACATTTCCATTTAGATCATGGACTAAACTAACTTCTCCAGCCAAAGATATTAAATTTATTTGTAAAGTGCTGGTGTGATCCTTCCTGGCACAGAAGAGTTTGGAAGCCTGTAAGTTAGGGTCCAGAGCACAGGTCATGGCAATTTTAGTTAAACCATGCCAGGCTGCTTAGAAAACATTAATTCCATCCAGGGGGTGTATTTTGAAGGAACACATTTGCTGTGAGCCTCTTGCCTTTTGCATTTACACGGTGGCTGTCCACAGGCCCACAGTGAGTGCTATCGGAGGCAATGTGTGTAGAAACACATCTTCAATGCATTTTCGGTGTTACAGCATTACAGCTAGTTATCTTAATGTCAAAACCATTTCACACGGAAGGACTGGAGTAGTGAAGATATTTTGCATATTTGATGGCCAAATTGGGACAAAGCATAATTCGGTTGACTTCCAGGCCCAAATGTCCTTAAATTTAAGGAGCATAAATAACACTGTGCTACAAGCCTTGTGCTTAGCATGTGGGCTTATAATTCATGTATGATCAGCACAGATCAGCTCACATTTGGAATCCATGATGCTGACCACCTGTGTTTTAATGAGGCTTGAGCTGTGCCCTGCTAATTATGAAGGTACAGTCATCTCCTTCTACAGCTGCATCTGAACTTAACTTGGATTTAACTCTGACAACAGATAATCCATGCAGAATAAGAGGCATAGACAGATGTTAACCCTTTGCAGTGGTCTTCACTCTTCCTAATGTTGGGGCCCTAATATAGTTCCTCATGTTTTGGTGAACCCCCACCCATGTTTACTTTAACACAATTGAAATGGTATTTAAAACACCCACTTTACATTACAGACAACTAGAGGTGTCCCCCAAAAGAACTGAATTAAATTGACGGGCACCTAAAGATTTATTATCCAAGCAGTGAAAATAGATGGTTAATATGATCTGAGACACCGACTGAGTTTGGATATGATACCCAACAACTTTAAATGATTATGAATATTTTTGCATTGTTTCAAAAGAAAAATGAGACATGCAATTAATATGGCTTAACTCTGCAGGATAAATATTATTATTTAATGATGTATAAAACAACTTCATTCTAACAGCATCATGCTGGGCCCAGAAATGAAATAAATACAAATTTATGTTTATGTAAGTATGCATTTAGGACAGTTAGCTCTTTATGTTGAGCACATGGGATCATTTAACTTTCTCACCTATCAAATTAATGTGTTGGGAAGCCTCATGCATGTCAGATAGTCTTCAAAGCTCTAACTGTCACAGAGAATAAATGTAAGGCATAAGGACTGAAATGTAGATGTATCCATTTACTGAGGACTGTTTCCTTTAACTAATTCTATGAATGTTGAAGATATGTCATGATAAATAATGATGTGGTTGGCACTGCTGAGTGAGCACATGCCATAGCCAAGAGACTCCCAGAACTCAGCATATCTGCACCTGGATGGCATGATCTCAGCCTCCAGACTGACTCTAGAGCCAGGAACTGAATGCATTCACGTATCAAGCTGCATTTCTATCTGATGTCCCTTCTGCCCTTCCCTGGGCTGCCAGGAAGATGAGCCTAGGCCTTGCTTCCATGTTTTATGTGTAGTCTCCAAAGTTTTGGTTCCTTTTAGTTTTTCCTTGTCTTGCTCCTTCCACCTAGGATGCTCTCTTTGTACAGTTTTGCAAGGCAGACTTGCACTTTCCTGGAACATCTCCCCCAACCCCTCCCTCCCTCCATCTCCATCCTCTCTCTCTCTCTCTCTCACCCCCTACATGTCCCACAACCCCCTCTCTGTTTCTTTAAAAAAATTAGTTTTTTTCTCTTGTTTTTGTTTTTTTGAAGGTGCTCAGAGTCAAACCCCTTATCCCTGCTTGCTAGGCAAGGGTTCCACCACTCCCCTAGACAAAAACTATTTATTTTTGTGGCACTTATTTCTCACTGTAATTGCAATTATTTTAACTTGCATTTTTTCCCTATCAGACTAAACGTCATGGGAATCCATAAACCATGCATAACTATTTTTGTGTGTTTCCCATAGAACCTTGAAAGGCACTTCCGAGGAGATATTTCAAAGAAGACACATCTGAGTGAGCACCAACCTCTCCATGGATTCCTCCTGCCTTACAAATTGGTTGGTTTTTGCTTTTGATGTCTTTAGCATTAAACCTTTCACTGTGAAACTTCCCTTTTTTTTAAAAGAAGAAATTTACAAGTGAATAAAAAGCAATACTTAATGAATGAGAACTTGGAGGATAAATGCCTTATAGGAAATACAGTACTTTGGAAAGAAAGTTACTAGTGACTTACTCCCAATCTCAACTGGGATGTATATATTAGGAATATTATTGTTCTGTTATGAAGCTAAGGATGCATTCAGATTGTGTGTATCTAACATACCACTGCATACATCTAGATAATCCTGTAGGTTAAAAAAAAGCTACAGCTTTTTATTTATGAACTATGTTGTGAGTAGGCATCTGAACAACCATACATAATTTACTCTAGTTTTGCAATTCATTTTTAACCTCAGAGAGCTTGTACCACATGGTAATTAAGAAGAAAAACAAGACCCTATTGATTTAAAATTAATTGTTGTCTTTCATTGGCAAGATGACTGAGTGAGTAAAGGTGCTTGTTGCCAAGCCTGACACCTGAGTTCAATCCCTGGGACCCACATGGCAGAAGGAAAGGGCTAATTTCCAAAGGTTGCCCTGTGACGTCCACACACACATAATGGCGCATGTATGCCTACATAAACACACACACATAAACCAATAAAATAAAAAATATCAAACTACTTATCATACCAAGTGTTCTACTTACTATACTAATTTAGTGTTCTACCTTTTGTTCTTTCATATATATGATGAGTCTTGGTGTGATGTAGTTTAATATGATTCTCATATGTAAAGTACATAGGGTTTGTTTTCACTGTACTCTTTTTCTTATTTCAGTTCAAAAGTAGAGCTTTCCATCATGACATTGACTAGATTGCTTAAGAGATTTTCATTGTCATTTATTACATAAATGTATTACCTCATTTCCCCAGGACTTAGGAAAAAAGCATCCCTAGACCTCTTTACCAATAGCAGAGTATGTTACACAACAGAAACAAAACAATTGTGCTGGAGTCTCTTATTGGAATATTTAACATGTCTATTGTTTTGTTTGTATTGAGTTATGTGATTCCTGTGTTTGGCATTATGCATAGATACAAGCAACAATCAATAGAATCCAGTCTACTTAAGCAGAATAGTTTTTAACAGCAGAGTATTGACATACAGAGTCGTAAGGAGAACCACTAGGGATATTGGGCATTCACGTCTAGAATGAAGCTCACTCATCTCTCACTGGCTACCCAACTGAACTCCAAATGGATCAAAGATACAAATGCAGTATCTGAAACTTTAATAACACTAAAAACAAATAGGGGCCATTCCTTAGGACATCGGAAAAGTGTTCTGGGACATGACTCCAAAAGCACAGAGAAGTAAATAAATGATAAACAAATGGGAGTTTATCAAATGAAAGAAAGTTTGTACACAGTGAAGGAATTGATTAGCAGAGGGAAGATGAAACCCACAGCACAAGAGAATATATTTGCAAGCTATGCATCTGATAAGGAGAAGGTCATCAAAATGTATAAGGAACTCGGGAAGTCAAAGGCAGAAAACAAATAACATGATTAAAAATGGGGGACTCAGAGGGAGATGTAAATCACAACACAGTGCAAGAACACCTCACAAGACAAGAACGGCTGTCATAAACATGACAAGTGCTGAGTACTGAGGAGGATATGAAGAAAGTTGGAAAGTTTTACAGTTTTGTCATGGTATTAATTAGTATTGCCATTATGGAAAACACATGGAGTTTCCTTAACAATTGGCCCATTAATCCTATTCCTGGATATATATCCGAAGGAAAGGAAGTCAAAGTGGCAGAGTGACCCTTCTTTCTATGCAATCACTATTCACAACAGCAAATGAATAGAGGCAACTAGTGTCCATCTCTGAACATTATGCATACTCTGGAACAATTATTTAGCCATAAAGAATGAGACTTTTATTCTGACAACATGGATGAAAATGGTGTGTGTGTGTGTGTGTGTGTGTGTGTGTGTGTGTGTGTGTGTGTGTGTATGTGAAATCACTTGTGATTGAAAGCTTTCCAATTGATGACTAAAATTGGCCAAAGTTGAAAATGTGTGAGGTTAAAACATCAAGCCCGTGACCTTGTCAGACACACAGAATGATGTTCCTCAGCTCAGAATCACAAGGTGTCGATCAACAGTCCCAGCTTATCCATCTGCGTGTTAATGTTACCTCGGAAGAGGCTTTTTAAACATTAGAGTGCATATGAATCCCCTGGAGGACATAAATTTTCTGGGCTCTAACTCCAGGGTTTTATATCCAGTACACTCAGGATGAAGCTAGACCATTGACATTTACAAGTTCACAAATATGGCACACTCTGCTGATACAGGATTATCCTTTTGGGCTACAGGCTCTGGAATACTAATTACCAAGAATGGAGGTGGGAGAAGACATGTTTTTCCTGGTTTAAAAAGCAAAGAGGATGTTGAGCGTAAACATGGGCAGTCACTTATCTCATTTGCACACTTTGATGAGATCTGCTCTTCTTTTGAGGGGACAACTGATGGAGTAGAAATAAAAAGGTTTCAAGAGCCCTGTGATACACCTGAAAAGGAAGGAAGCATCTTTTCAGGTGGCAAGATGGGATTCCCTCAAATAGGGACAGATGAGGGCTCCTCCAGGATTCAGAGTCTGAGGCCCAACTTAACTGTGCACATGAAGCAATATTTGAGTAGAAAAAAACTGCTAGTGCAGAGATAGTTAAGAGGGACTGTGTTATAAAGCAATCCCTCAATTCTTTTTAGGTGCCCATATGTTCTCTTGTTGCTGGAATTCTGTTCAAAACCATGGTCAGGATAGCATAACCCTTGTATCCTATGGATTTTTTTGTTTAAATATAAAAACTTTTCTTAGAAGTAGAGTTAATGTGAGAGAACTAATGGATAAATGCTTAGGTGCATAGTCAGCATTGATCAAAATGACTTCCATATGAAAAAGGGCTATTGGAGAATTGAATAGAATGTATGGGACCGTTGATTGCTATAACCATATGGTAGATTTTGCTAATTTAGAGGCAGCAGAAAATCAAGGCATCTTCTCTGTTTGACTCTTCTTCGCCCCCTCCCCCATATTGTGAGGCTCATTATGTTTTGCCATTAACGTTAATGGGATTTAATGTACAGTGGGACCAACCAAGCCCCTGACTTTGAAAGCTGAAAGTGATTATAAAGTCAATTCTTAGAAATTATAAAACACATACTTGTCATGAAACATTTGACAAATTTTCTTAAATTCCCCAAAGATTTTCATTTTAAGTGCTTTATTATTTCAAATCAATGATCCTTAGGTCTCATGGGCACAGCAAAATAATGTCTAATAGTCATATTTTGCTTCTATTTTTTTTTATAGGATGTAGAACATGGTCTCTGTTTTTTGTTTATGAGCCCCAAGTCTTTTAACAGGTGTTTTCTCTGATACAAATTTACCTGATGTTTTCTAGCTCAGAGTTCTTTCTACATATAACTTATAGGTTATAACTAGAGCCTAGCTATAAGTAAACTGAAACAAATACATTAGAATTGGCACAAAATGTCATCAATTTAGTAATTATTTAGCTCAAGAAAGAGCAGAATTTTGAGGAAGTCAATGAATAAGAAAAATAGCCAATGGGGAAAAATTCAAGGAGGTGAGGGAATAAAAAGGTCAAGACATGAAAATGAAAGATTGAGACAAAGGGCCACAGGGGACAGGCAGGGAAGGTCATGACAGGTGCTCATCAATAATGTGTCAGAGAGGACTAAAGACAAGGATTGAAAAAGAATGTGGACTAACTCTATATAGAATGGGGCAATGTAGTGACGTCTATACACAGGATTGCAAAGGGATGATGGTTGTGCCTCAGTAGAAATGATTCGATAGCCTCACAACAGGAGGAAATAAGGCACAGGATGTATAGAAAGTCACTGTTCTTATGATGAGGTTTTGAAAACATATGCCCTTACCAATGTGGAATAAGATTGAAGGCTAGCTTGGCAAACATAATTGTTCCTTTACTATGTTAAAAGCAGCCACCAAGAAGAATTGGGAGTACTTCAAGTGAACATTTTGCCACAGAGTACTGAGGTAGATTCCCTCAGAGTAAAACATTTCTTAACTCAAACGTTTTCAGAGCAAGGTCTTTGAGGCACATTTCCACTTTGCTACTTATCTGTTTGCCACCAGGGTCAGTTTGATGGGTTTGACTTGTGAATTCTAGATTTATGCAATGGGGCTTTCTTACAGTGTGGCTGTGTGACTTGAATAGAGACTGTGTGTGAAGAGTCAGAAAATTTCTCAAAAATATTTCGTTTTTCTTATGAATACCTCAAATAAAATTCACTGAGAACAGTTCTCATTTAATTGTATTGCTTTCGCCCCCTTCCCCCACATTTAAGCATCAGACTGTTCTGTCCTGAATAATAACTGAACAACAGCAACGATGGCTTCGTCATATGCTGACAGCTACCAGAAGAAAGGGACAACGTGAGTCATGGTGACATTGTTAAGGTACGACACATGGCCCTGCACTGAGGAAATACACTATAAATTTTGGGAAGTAAGATTGAGTGTTGAATCCCTGCCTCCCTAGTCTGGTTTTCCTAACCGTTTCGCTTTTATTGCCTTATGGGAGGACCTGGCCATCCTTAGGCCTTTTGAAGTGTAATTTTACATTTCTTCAGTACTCCTAATTCCAATGTAGTTCATGATTAAGTGGTTTCAACATTTATTTGTGCTCAGAGGTTAGAATTCCAGCTTGTCATTTTCATGCTATCATTCCAGCCTCAATAGATCCTTCCTATTTTCTATGAGAAGGCTGGGACAGTCAGCCACCTACTTTCTCTCTGGAATCATTTATCAGCTTCTACTTATGACTTTTGTAGCTACTAATGAAAATTTCTTCAAATGCAGATTTCTTCTAGATTTCTGTCATGACATAACAATGTGTCTGATTCCCTGTAGGCTGAAGTGAACACTTATCCTCACTGAGCACTACTTTTGAAATGGTACCTGGGATGTGCAGATATCTCATGGGTAGGGAGCATGTCATGTGTGCACAAGACCCTGGGTTTGTTCCCTAACATTATAAATAAAAAAAATATATTATATATATCTCATATTTGGAGAAAATGTTTCATGTGTGATGAGTAGAAACAGAATGGATTAATTCAATGGGTGCAATGAAGACATTTAAACAACTAGAAACAATTGGTATATCTGTCAGAGCATTTATATTGTTACCATTCCAGATGGGAAGCAAGTCCAAGTACTAAAAGCTATAGGCATTTTGTGGGGTTCAGCTGAGAGTGACTTGTTGATGCCATGTCCAGCTTCTTTGGATGGGGATCCTTCTTCATGGCAATACTAGAGGAAAAGCCACATGTAAAATAAATAAAAAGCATTTTGGGAAAGAGCAATATGTGGTCTAACTGGCACTTGCTAGTAAGTTCTGGGGAAACATCTCAAAGCTATTGGATCATGAAGTAAGAGATGACAAAGGCACCAATATGTGACTGGGTTCTTCCTGTGGATCTGAGAGCTGGGCCACTATAGGTGACTAGTTTCTCCTGCCAAGGTGATGTTAGCACAGACGAGACCGAGGAGACCATTCCAGCTCCCTCACTTTCTACTTCCCTGAAGGGAGGAAACTCCTGGATGCTCTTTGCTGCTCCTGTCTTTTATTTATGTATGTATGTATGTATATATGTATTTATGTATTTATTTTTAAATTCATTTTTCATTTTACATACCATCCCCAGTTCTCCCTCCCTCCCCTTCTCTGGCCCTGCCTACCTCTCTCCATCCCACCCTCCATCCACTTCTCAGAGAGGTAAGGCCTCCCTTGGGTAGTTAACAAAGTCTGGCATACCAAGATGGGTCAAGATCTAGCCCCTCCCTCCTACATCAAGGCTGAGAAAAGTATCCCACCTGGACTCCAAAAGGCCAATTCGTGCATCTGGTATAAGTTCTGGTCCCACTGCCAGGGGCCCCACAAACAGATCAAGCCTCATGACTGTTAACCACATTCAGAGGGTCTAGTTTGGTCCCATGCTGAGGCCATTCTTGTAGAATCCTAGGAGTTACCTTAGCACCAGGTTTCTCCCTTGCCCATAATGGCTTCCTCTAATAAGATATCTCTTTCATTGCTCTCCCTCTCCGTCCTTCCCTCAACTTGGCCATCTCCATCTCTCATGTCTCCTACCCCCATCCTCTCCCTTCTACCCTCCTCCCAGTTTACCCTGGAGATCTTAACTATTTCCCTGCCCTGGGGCCCATGCATGCTCCTCTTAGGGTCCTTCTTTTTTCTTTTCTTTTTCTTTCTTTCTTTCTTTCTTTCTTTCTTTCTTTCTTTCTTTCTTTCTTTCTTTCTTTCTTTCTTTCTTTCTTTCTTTCTTTCTTT